CAGCATGTGGCGTACCTGACTGTTTATCCAGGGCTTCTGGTTGGGAAACCTCCTGACCTGTATGGTGGGCACAATGTTGTCAATACAAGTACTAATGTAACCAGTCACATACTCAGCATAGTCCTGTACACTGACAGAAAAGTCCTCTGAGGTGGCTGCAGCTTTAAACACATCCCAGTCTGTCTGGTGAACCAGTCCTGCAGGGTGCCTTCAGTCTCTGGGGTCCAGAGTTTAATTTGTTTGGTGACAGGGTTTGTTTGTTTCAGTCTTTGTCTGTAAGCTGGATACAGGAACAAAGAAATGTGGTCTGAGCATCCAAAGTGGGTGCGGGGTGCAGCCCTGTATGCGCCAGGTATGTTACTGTAAACATGATCCAGAGTGTTCTTGCCCCAGGTGGGAATGTTCACATGTTGGTAATATTTGGGAAGTACAGTTCGCAGATTGCACCGATTAAAGTCACCTGCAGTGATAAATACAGCATTGGGGTGCACTGTCTCTAGTGTGCTGATGACGTTGTGGAGTTTGCTGAGAGCTGTCGAGGGATTAGCTCTTGGGCTAACATACACAGCAGCCAGAAACAGCACTATGCTCTCTTGCTAAATAATAGGGCCAGCATTTCAGCAATAAAAACTCTATGTCTGGTGAACAGTGCTTATAAACAGTCCGTACATCTCCACACCATGAGTTATTGATAAATATACACACACTGCCTCCTTTTACCTTCCCTGAAGCAGCAGTGCGGTCTCCCCGATATACAGAGTGGGTGTCTAGCTGAATCGTGGAATCTGGGACTTTGTCAGAAAGCCAAGTCTCGGTGAGAATTAGAGCACAGCATTCTCTTAGTTCCTGTTGTGTTGTAATCCTGGCTCTTAGCTCATCCAGTTTGTTTTTCAGGGACTGTACGTTAGCTAGGAAAAGGCTGGGTAGTGGCAGTCAGGTAGCGTGAGCTTTTAGCCTAGCATGAAGCCCTCCTCTCTTGCCCCGTTTGCATCTCTGTCTCCGGGTCGCTCATTTCAACCTGTTCGCTTGTGCCTGGTGTTCTGGGGGCTCCCTGAAGGTGATGGTGGTTGTCATTGTTTTTGTTGTTGTTGTGGGAGGGGACAATGAGTTGTAGCTCCGGTGGCATGAAACCAGTAAATTCCCAGTGGCTGTGTGAGTTGGCGATGTCCAGCAATGCCTGTCTGTTGTATGTTAGCGGTGCATGACATTTGTGCACTGCAGAAAGAGTAAAAAAACACACAAAAAAGAAGAAAACGAAAAAAAAAGCCAGCATTCGAGAGTGGAATGCGCAAACACGTCTGACTCGGAGGATGCCATCTTGCTTTTTCAGTTTTCATCAGTTCGGTTTGTTCTCTTTGTATTCAGAAATATGGAACACACAGAGCTTGAAAAATAAGACTAAGGCCGTGTTCAGAATGTGTCATAAAGGTGTGAAGAAATGCTGCCCTCTCCATTCATTTCTATTGGGGCTTGCATTCACCACAGCCTGCACCAGCACCGCAGTAGGCTCTGGCAAAATGACACAGCACTGTGCGGTGAAAAAGTTGGATATGGTTCAACAAAAACACAACAAAGTCATGTGGGCTGGAAACGTGAATGAAGCCACTCAACATGGCTGTATCATCTATAATACCCCCCTAAAACCTTTCACCCCTGACCAAGGCAGCGTTGCAACACAGCAGGGAGTTGTGTTTTAGTGCATTTCGCCTGAACGCCAGTTAACACAAGATTGAATGTGCTTTGTGTTTTTTCCTTCTAAATCTAAAAGATGATGCATCCCATTGAGTGTATACACTGTCTTCAAAATGATTTTACGCACATAAACAGCATATAAGAAAAATTTGCTAAACTTAAATATATCATTTACTCAATGCTTAAAACAAACAGTGAAAAAAATGTAACTGCCGAAAGGAGGACAAGCCTTTAAAGTCAAAAATATGAGACTTGAGTTTTAAATGAGCATGTTGTAGCTACCACAGTAGTGTGCATCTCCTGTACATAATATATTTACTATGGTTCAATCCATAGTTTTTTGGCTAGTACCCAGAATCAATGTGCTAGACTGAAGCCATCAACAACCACTTTGTACTCACTATAATGTGTTCACACTCTATCAGTCCCTGTGGTGTACATGTTGAAGCTGCCGCCACAACAGGAAAGTCACTTTGATGCTTTCCACATCTACTTCTTCTTTTCATTATTTTTCTCTTTCCTTATCCACCGCAGCATGTGCCTGCTGCTCCAGCACTTTAATCAGCTACTCCACCCATCACTGAGCTTATATCTCCTCTATGGCTCTGTGTGTGTTTTCATGTCTGCCACACACACACAGACACCTAAAACAGCATGTAGTCATTTTCTGACAGCCATATTCACCCATCACACAACTGAGTGGAAAGATGAGCTGCCTACTACTCTTGGGGCAGAAGGAGAAATCATGTGGGTGCGAGCACCCACACCACACACAAAAAGTATATACCAATGCACACATTTAGCAGTCCTTGTCACAACTGGCTGATTTGCAGCATATGGTTATTCACTGTTTATTTTCAGCCAGGGGGCTTGATTCTAAACTTTTAGAACTGACAGGAAAGCTCCTCTTGACTTTGGTTATTAAAAAAGAACAAAACCAAGCCTACAGAAGGAAACAAGCTGGTGTTTCTCTCCTGAATTCATTGCACACAGGAGTACATATACTAAAGGTTATCCTAGCAGATGTCTGTCCCTTTTCTCTTATATCACAGTCACTCAGCATCTGTCTGCAGCTGACCTCTGAGGTTGCCCTTGCTCTGACTTGACCTGGCAGTGACTCACCAATCTCGCAGCTTTCTCCAGAGAAACCCTGAGGACAGTAGCAGCTATAACCATCACCTTCCTGCAGGCAGCTCCCTCCATGGAGACATGGGTTAGTCTGGCAAGGGTTACTCTCCACTGTAAAGACAGACAGAGTGAGAAAGAGGGAGGTGGGGGGTTAACTGATGAAAGAGCATTATGAAAATGGCTCCAGTGCTGACAAACAGTGTCAGGCAATGAGCCAGAATTGTGCCCCTCTTGTTATCCTTACACAAGCTACCCTCAAGCAGCTCTCTGACAGAGACAGAAGAATAGTGCATCTGGCAGACAGTATGTAGACTCGTCCCTGTCTCTGTGACTTTTTACAAGGTGACGGATTGGTTGCCACTGCACTGTCTCACCCCTGTTTATTATGACTGAAGCTTGTCAGGCGAAAGACAATGTACTGAGTTCTCCTGCCTCTCATCCCAGGTCTTACTGATGAGGGGAGGTCCTCATAAATTAGCTTATTATCACCCACTCATGCAAACTGGCACCCGCCTATTTTTATGGCACATTACTATGTTGCAGAAGAGGTAATAAACATTTTACGGCTATAACTTCATGCCTCTTCATGGGCAATGTTTTGGCAGATGAATGGTGGAGATTGAAGGAATTAAGTTGTAATTATTGCTGTTATATTTAAGGATGCAACAGAAGGAGGAGAAGAAGAATTTGGCATGGCAGGTTAGAGTGCATAGCGGGTGTCACAACCTTCTAATTCTGTGTGCAAAGAAGGACTGTTGGGAACTGCCTAGAGTAAGTGTCTTTTTATTAACCATTCCTGATAGGGTTTGAGCCCCTGACACAGTCTGTCAGGCCATCTAATACACTTCTCCATAATAATACCCAGGCTCACTTAATGATGTATGACGATAGAAACTTACTTTTGGAATTGCAAGCGAGAGCAGACATCTTTACTGCTCCTCTTGTCTGTTCTACGATTTTTCACATCTTCTACATTTTCAAGTTTTTGAACAAATTCTACAACTATTAAAATGCCTCCAAGAGGGAAAAGAGCTAATAAATCAGAAGCGAACGAGGATGTTGAAGCAGAAGAGGATT